ATCTAATTTCAACAGAAAACTCTTCTCAAGCATAGGCAGCCATAACTTATGCCCCAACTCATTCAAATACCTGTAAGAAAGTCAATAAAGCAATGACCACCCACATTCTTACGCTTCAGTGGGGCTGCACCTCTGTCAGGTTGGAATCTATAGAACGCTTTAGTTAAGCTACACTGCAAAAGGAAAGTTTTCCTGAGCTCTGATTCTGAAACTACTGTATGTTGGGTAATAGATGAAACAAGGCATGCAAGAGAAGGAGAGCTTAAGCAACATCTTAACAAGGTTAAGTTTACAGTGGTCTACTAAAGGGTCTCGTATCTGCCAAGGTACCTGCTAAGGCAGAAAAGAAAAGGACAGGTATGGTGAGAAGGTACCATCACCTTTTAGTCTTACTTAGAGACTGAAAGCGTCTCACTAATAACTAGCTGTAACAGCAGTTTTGCATATAATTATTTAACAATAGTTGCTAGGCAGTTAGTTGACAATACAATCCTGAACTCTGAAAGAATTTTTAGAATGAATGCCAAATAAAACGGATAAAAAAACAACTTCACAAGAAAAGGAGACTTAAATTCTCTATTGTCCAGGAAAACAGCTTCCACGTTAACTGAAAAATACTAATACCTTTTTTTTTTTTTAAAAACAGGATACACACACACATATATAAGTGGTTTAAACAAAGTATGCACAAGGACTGAGTTTCAAACTAGCATCCGCTTGCTATCTATTATCTGCCTTAGAAAGTGTCTCCATTTACCCAGTTCTTCCAGAATGAGTTACTTCAAATTTGGCTCTTGACCATTTCAAAGCACTAGGCTATCTCCAGGTTAAAGTCTGAATTCTCATCCTTGGTACTTACAAAATCCCTCACATTAAGAATTCTAGTTTGGTTCTCATCCACTTTCTTCCTGGGATGTCTCAAAGCTCTCAGGCTCCTATATCGCTTTTGTGCAGACTACCCCTATCTCCAACCTCGCTCACCTTTGCTCATGCACTTATACCACATATTCAACAAATCAAATAACCAAACTCTGAGGCCAGTGTCTGAACAGAAAGTAAACTAGAAAGCCTACCACAAAAGCAGCTGGCTGAAAGAACGTCCCCATTCCCTTCAGCATCTCGAACTGTTTTCAAGTATGACTTTAATTCCCTACTTCTACCCATCGCTTTCCTCTATGGAAATAAAAAAAAAAAAAGCACAGATAAATCAGTATTCTGAACATAGTAGTCTTTCATAAAGTTTATTGCACTAATAATGAACAAGTATAATATCACATGTTCATTAGGCATACAGACCACGGTATTAAATGCTTTATCCCTCAAAGATGAATTTTTGAATGGACAAGGGACCTTCATATCCTCTTTTGAATTCATACAATTTTTTTTCCCATTACAGTAACTAATATTGCTTAAAGTGATCAAATGTTATTTCCTAAATCATGAAAGCACAGAAGAATAAAAAATGCAATAGAAGTTCTGTAATAAATAAATAATGATAACTTTTAAAAAGCCATCATTTCAGGCAAATACCTTTATTTTGTTATCAACTTTGAATTGAAACTTTTCAAGAAAGGATATAAAAAGCTGTATTTCAAAGTTTATTTACACCTACTGTTATACTGTAGGTCGTTTCCACTGTTACTGCTTAAACAAAAGAAAAAACAAAGTCATGTTTTTGTGTAAAATTCTGTCAAAAAGAATAGCTCTGTAATATCTGAGGCAACACAAATGAAGGCAATGTTATGTTTTCCTACAGATGCCGATTTAAACCTCCGTTGCAAATGGCTCATACAATCAGAACCTTTGTCAGGGACCAGGAATAATGGCTAATATTAAGTGCTACTTTAAATGTAATTAAAATGCTGCTAATTACAATTATGAAAGAACACTACTACATTATCCAAGGCACTGTTTCATATAAAAATAGCTGGTTAAAGGACTGGTGACTGTACCTTGCCCTCAACTAAAAAAGCGTTACATGAAGTATTCAGACCAGGAAAAGCAACCTAAGCGTATCACATGACTACAGGATACTAAAAAATCACAAATACCATTTTATTTTCAATTATGAATTGAGGTTCAACCATACAACTATATAATTAGAACAAAGTGGAAAGCTGGCTGTGTTCTTCTGTCCCCTTTCCCCTTGTCCCGGCAGCACCTCTCCCTCTCCATACGCAGGTACGATCCGAGAGTCCCAGGGGGAAGTGAGCGCGAGGCGGAGTAGTACAGGCAGACCAAGTCAGAAGCATGGCGAAAAACAGAAAGGTTCAGAGAATTTCAGCATCTTTTTGCGCACCTTAAACTAAATTCATTGTTAATTAGTAAACAGTTATCTAATTCTACGTGTGTGCATTTCTCCTCCAGATATTTAGTATATCAGAACTTCCCACATTTGAGTTTTGCCTCCCCCTTCCCCTCCCCACTGTAATAAAAAATTTATTATAGTCAGGGAACAATTTGGTTATCCAGAAGAGAAGTGGATTTATTTCCTTTTCACATGATCTCATTACATAAGTGCACAATAAACCCCAGGAACCACACTAGTTTCCATTTAGCAGAACTCTGTGATCTTTATTATGATCTAGCAGCTATTTTGCTCATTGTTCACTACAAAGCCTGGTGTAACCTTGTAAACTAGCAACAACAGATCTGTTTTGCCCCCCTTGCCTTTTTTTTTTTTTTAATTAAAGCTCAATGATGCACTTAAATCCTATGTTTCTGAGTAAATGACAATCTTAACTAGGCTTTATGCAAAAATCAACTTGCCATGTCCTCAGTTCTGGCACTGTTCAACTTCAGTCACTCTAGGAGGGTTAAGAGTGTAATATCTGGCCTAGAGCTAATCAAGAATTGAGCTGAAAATTTCAGTCCTATGTTTTCTTATTGGTACTTAACACGAAATGCAAGTATACGGATATATATCTGAACCACAGTAACTTTTTTTAAAGCCTACCAAATCATGGTCAATTCATGCTGAGTACAGTGCTGCTGACTACTTAATCTGAGTTTCATAAGTAGCTGGGTATACTTCCATTCACGAAGAAAGGAAAGACATAAACAGTGGATACCAATCCCATGTACGTTCATTTCATTGTACTGTTTTCCAGTTACAAGTGAAGCACTCTTATTCCAGACGAAGCACCGACATATCACAGCAGGAAGCAAGAAATGAGACAACACAGGAGAGCATGAAGCAGCAATCACTACAAATTAGGTTAGTCAACACCCAACTGACCACAGGAGATGAGTCATCCATCATGGAACAACTACACCATAAGGAAAGTCTTTCCTCCAGTTGCTCTCCTTATGAGAGGCAGCAGCACTTCTCTTACTAACCTTATCAAAAACTATCCAAATTGGGTAGCCAGACAACTCTACATCTATCAGGGTCTGACATTGCTAGCATTTCTCTCATGGAAAAAAGTAGAGAAAAATCAACTAAATCACAAGTTCAAACAGGAATGGTTATAGATTAGTAAATTTTTTTCCACCAAAAGAAATATTGGCATCATTATTACAGGTTTTAGTAAACTTTTATGGTAGTTAAGTGAAATATGTAATTCTGAGATAACCATTACTATTTTTAATAAACACGTTCTATTTTGACCAGCTCAGCAGCTCAAAGTTGACAAACCAAACATAACACTCAAAACTTTTTTTTTTTTTTAAAAAAGAATTGCATATTTGTACTTCTTACAGTCTCAAAAGGTCAGTGGGACGATACCTGCCTTTAACCCATTTTTCCTTCAAGTGAACCACCAGAAACAGAGCTTGTCCAAAATCAGAAATTCTTTATACTGAAGCTTGTGTTTATTGGTTTGCTAGAGCAGGGCGCAGTATCTTTACTGATGGATAGCAGAAGTCACAAAATAGATCATGCCAACACTGAACAACTTCTACATGAGTAAAACCTTGGGATATTTCCCATTTGTTTCAAAAAAACATGCTTTCTTTAAATAAATAAGCAAGCAATAAAAATAATAAATAAAAAAGGTCTAAGACACCTTGCACCGATATAATTTTTATCCTTTACCAGTATGGCCTTCCTGGACTTATTCTGACATTTTGCCACAGCAACAATAATATCTGTAGACTTACACTACCATTGTCCCATTTCATGCTGGCATTGGGTCGTTTCTGAATGAACTCTAAGATCTTTGATCTACAAAAGCATCTTATTAGTAGAACAAATATTTACTCTTTCCAAAACCTAGATTCCAAATATACTCTGTATGCAGTCATTTATTTCTGTGCATCTCACACAGTTAAACCACTGTCTATTACAGAAGTCCTCCTCCAAATAGGACTTTTTTAAAACTATAAAGCCTAGAAGTGCAACTTGAATACAAATATACTACACGTAGCTTCAAAATACAGTGAAGTAAAAATTCCGAATGACATACAAGGTCAAGCAGAGTATTACAGTGCAGCAAGGTCCAACTCAAGTTAAATATTATGCTTCAATTAAAGCATGTCACATAACGCTCACATTGTTCCTCAACTATAAAATGCAAACTCCTGTCATATTCTCTCTGTAACTGATACCACTGGCATCTATCCTCCTGCTTTGTATAAAAATCACATATACCATTAAATATAGACTCAAACCAAATGCTATAAAGCTATATGAAACACAGTCAGTTGTTGAGACAAGAAATTCTGTACAACTGTTTAACAAGAATTACTCAAAAGGTCCCCAAATTAACAAACCAAACATATTCTCTCCAACTTAATCTATGCTTTTTTTTTTTTTTTTTTTAAAATCAAAATGCATCTAGTGCAGTACTTCATACAGAAATTCCAACACAGGGAATACGAAAAGGAATTTAAATGGAGTTAACATAACATTATTTCTTCCCACTATCCAACCTCAGAAAAATAAAATAATGAAAAGTGATCTTAAAATTGTGAAAAAGGTACAGTAATATCAATACATAAGAAACTATTTTAAATATGATCATGATGTACCAAAAACAAAACAAAAAACCTTTGCATACCTGCAAGGTGGTAAAAACATGGAATCCTTCATCAGCACAGATCCTGAAAGCAGTATATACCAGCATCTTGCAATAGTTTCTGAGCTGTAAGAAAGGGTGCCAAAAGTCTTAGAAATAGACTCTTTATATTATCCAAATATTAGCGTAGTTAAACAACAATCTACCAGGCTACCAATTCATCATGTGGACTGTAAACCTAAGAACGTTAATGGATCACTACCAAAAATTAACATTTTTGAACATCTATATCCAGAATGTTTCTTATACCTCACAATGACATTTAAATAAAATTGAAGACGTTTCACAAAATAAAACTATTAATTTTCCATGAAAAGACTTCATTCCAATAAAAACATATAACACTAAAATATAGGAATGCTTTTATCAAATGCTCAAGTTGATTATCATTTCAACACACACAATAATATTACACAGACCTATCAAGTCTTATAGATAAAATATAAGACCCATATGTTTGACTGCTGCACTGCATTCCTCCACTGCAGCACTTTTATCTCATGCAGTTGCAGTACTGTCTCCCACGTGACAAATGGTCCCAGGTGGCCAGGGAGGTGACCTGACAACCATTTCAATCTACAGATCAGGACGAAGCTACCATGTTTTACTGCAGTAGATTGTCTGCATCTTCATAGAGCGCTGTATTCGCGCTTCCCAGCTACAGCCCAACATCACTTGCTTCTCCAGTAGGCAACCCCACACACAGACATCAAACTCTTACTGGAACAGGTTCATGTCAGACCCGCCTGTCACAGGAACTAACACATGGCATCTCGTTAATTTAAACATAAGTGTATTGCAAGACATGCCTAATACAGAAGGCTTGTATTTTTGCTCTCAGCAAATCCTCTATAAGCAATGCTAAAACATGAGGGAAAAGGTGTATTTGTCACCCACTAGGAACCTAAAAAAAAAACCCTCAACACTAAAATACGAGTTCTGGCCATTTGAGATAAATTTGGGCTCCATCCCTCTTCCAATGAGGAATACTCCTACAAAGTAATTTGAATCCCTGCCAATACAGTGAGTAGCAGCTCCAGGGGAAGAGTGCCACCTACTGAGTCATCAGTACTATTTCCATAAGCATCTTGGGCATTTTACAAGGTGTCACTAGATGTTTATCTTCCACGTGCACAGGCACACCTACCTTGTCAGTGGGAACCGTGGTGTTAATTCTGTAGCCACCTCTGAAACCTCAACACCATGTTACCGTTACAACCACCACGCGTCAAAGCTTTTAACCAGGCTGGCCAACTTTAAGTGTTCTAAAGTCTTATATGTACAATTACTGAAAGACTAAAAGATACATTACTAGCATGCAAAACAGTGTTTTTGCTTACACTTCTAATAAGTTACATGTACTTACCAAAAGAGAACTTGATTGCCCTTGTACCTTTCATAGCGGGCACTTGATGACATTATTCTGAGGGATGAGAAGTTTAATTTCAATTTGAATCCCCAAAGATCACAAGCCATTAAACATCACATTTCAGCAGAATCACTTTAAGACTTTTAACTCAAAAAATAGTTGAATTTGAGGTCTTAACAAAGGACATCGTAATAATTTGAATTTTATGATTACGGTGTTCTTCATTATCCAGCTAGATAATATACAGTATGTTCTCCAAATGTTTAAGTCACTCCTACACATTGGAATTACCCATAGCAACAGAACTGAAGGAACTAAAATACTTCCAACGTTCTTTTTGTGCTTTCCTGGTCTTCCATTTTATGTATTCTGAGATCATCTGAATGTCTTAATTGAAAGACATTTCCATTTGCAGTGCTACTGCACTAACTTGGCTCAGCAAGTGGACTTGGTTAACATTTTGCCACCTCAAAGCTTGGGCCATGAAAAGCTCTGCTCATCCTCACAAGAATACGTTCACACATACCAGCTGTACCATGCAATACTGACTTGCTTCATCCTACTTTACCTTAGTTGATGTTCCCTGAAATGTGAGAGTATATCCAGTCCATGAAGGAAAGAATAGATAGTATTTAAGTCCTAAAAAATAAGAGAAAAAAGGGGAGGGAGACAACATGAGAAACTTCATTCATAGCATCTAATCACTTTGCAGTACTTTCAAATTCTCCATTACAATTCTACAGACTTGTAAGACGTAACTCTAGACAAATTATGAATTAGTAACTAGGTCAGGACAGATACAGACTTGAAGAATCCCGTCCGCACTTAACTTGCTGAAGTGGTAACAGTGAATTCCAGCTGATGCATAAGGACTTACCTGGACAAAATTTTGAAGTAGATTGTTATTAAAAGTATCTTTGAAGAGATTATTTACATGGACAGACAGCAGCAAGTGTCAGGTGAAGTATACCAGATAAGACGGTTCCATTTATCCAACATCAAGAATTGCTGAAACCTTGTAATACCTCTTCAAAGAGGAAGAGAGCAAACTGATTTGCAAAATCCCCTAATAATAGCAGGGAACCTATGAGAAAGCCTAAGCCACACCGTCTAACCAGTATATACAACGCAGAGGACTACAGTCTGTTTTCACGGTGCTATGCGTGGAGAGAAAAAGCTACTTCACATCTATTCGAGAGCCAGCTGGCAGCCCTGCAGCAAGCTCTGCTCCGTACTGCTTCCTCTCCGCCTCAGCGCGGCCCTTGGCTGGGGAGGAGCACTGCAAGTTACCGAAACAGTCTTCAGCCAAGGCAAAAACAAGGCACTTTTAGATTCTTCTCCCACCTCCTGCTACTAAGGCTCAGTATCACACCAGCCCCATCCCTTAGCAACCACTGAAGCAAACAGCCTTCTCCCAGACTGAGTTTGGGCCAAATACAGTTCAAAATAAAACACTCACTTTTAAATTCAATTTTCGTAAATCACTACTTTGTCAGCATTCCTCACTGAGGGCTCTCATAACCTTAGTTGAAAAAAAAAAAAACACACACACACACACACCCCCCACAACAACTATGTCTGAAGTAGTGTTTTTTTTTTTTTTAAGCAACAGTATTAAAACATGCAGATTGTTTCACTTTAAAGGTTGGACGTTATACAGAAACGGTAATTAGGAGATACAGCTGTTTAAACCTCTCTCTACACAGAATCCTCTTTAGTCACAAGGAGATCTGTGTCGATAGGGGAGACCACATGCTAAGAAAAGAGCTCACTAGAGCTATTCATCATTTCAGTTACCACCCTGAACAGGTGGGCTGTTAGCATTAAATACATGCACAACAATATCATTACATATCACATAGTCTCTCCAGCTTGGCACTGGAAAATATGCTCTGGACTTTCCAGTACTGCATTCACACAATATTTACAAAAGAGAAAGCAATATGAACACTAGCTTCAGAATTTACAATAGAAGAGTTGTTTGGCTTAACAGTCAGTGTTAAGAAATATAATGAATATAGACTGTTATACCAAATGAAAGGTCATACATAATTGCAGGGCATGTAAACCAATACAACTCAGATTTTGTTTAAACGTCATTACCATAACCCACAGAAATTAAACAAAAGGTCTGACAGCTTAACACTTACATACTTCGAGATAAAACATCCATTTCACACAGTCCAATCTTATTTTAATCCTCCAGCTGCGAATTACTTGATTTTCTTACTATAATGCTCAAGAATCCTAGTTATGAATCAGAAACCAAACACAACACCAACTTGTGGTGATCAAACATGAACAACAAAGCCTGCAAGGGACAGGACCTGGCAGCCACAGGGTCATTCAAGGCTTTTTTTTAATTTTAATTTTTTTTTTTTTTAAAAAAAAAGAAGTCAGGGATCTCCAGAGAGGTTATTCAGGTCTCCCACGTTCTGAGCAGGAAACGGTCTAGGTTTAACCACCATAAAACGCCAGGCACAGGAATGAACTGGGGGCTGGGAAGGAGGGGTAGAAATGTTAATTCCCATACCTCTTCGGGGTTTCATCAACCGGCACTGGCATACGTGTTAAGCAATTGTGATGAATGTATGCGTTTCCTAGAAGCACACCCATTCACAAAGACTAGTCAAGTAGTTTCAACATTTCTTAAAACAAAACAATGGTAAGTGGCAACAATACCAATCTGCTGCTCTATAGTATCTCAGTAGCTAAAGATTTTACGCAACTGGAAAACCTGTCTTCAGTTCTTTCTCCATCATCTGAAGATCTGCATCTCACAGGCCAGAAGAGTGCTCAGACAAGAGGACTAAAGGAAAGATGAGGTGTGGATGCTCCCAACTTTTGTTGAAGCTGGGCTACTAGGCAACCAGGATGGTATCAGTATTGGGTGTTACAATTAAATAAGTAAAGCTAAATTTGTCACTCTTCATTACTCGTGTCTATACAGTTTCCCAAATTTGTTTTTTTCTAAATTTTGTTGACACTAAGATATAACAGTAGACGTCTTTAAAATATTTTTTTTGCTAACAGTCTTATTGGCATGAGTTACAGAAAATTTTAACCCTACTAAAAGCCTATACTTACAACAAAGTTTAAGTGATACATACGAGAAATTACCATGTCCTTTCTTGAGTGCCCTCTGGAACACTACAGAGCTACAGCCTCTCAGCAGCATAATTCAGCGTACTCTTTCCAAGGCATAAAGAGTATCTGAGCTTGGTAGGATATTTGTCCTCACTGCCCCTTCCTTCCTCCTGCTACATTCATTCATCGCTTCCCTCCATCTCACATGCTGAAAGCCTGGGCTGGTTCCTTCACTCCACTTTCATCCAATCTACTTCAGCCCCCAACCAAATACACACTGCCACTGCTCAGACTCAGCCATGAGTATGGGAACAAACCATGGAGTATCAAAACAAAACTACTGTACCTCTGCGAAAACCAGCCTACCTCGCTAATTTAGGAGCTTGGTAAATAAACAGTTGGCAAATTAATGAGAAACAATTGCTTAGAAGGACTGAGGCCTGGAAAACATCCCTTACCTCAGATGCATCCCAGTTCAAGGTTAAGATTTCAGATGTATTCTGCAGCCATGCAGCTCAGCAAACAGCTGTGCCAGAGCCCAGCACAGAAAAAGAAAGCAACACTTCCGATTCTCTCAGTATCATTACCATAGAAGGAATCTAAATTAAAGTGGCCAGAATTACTACTTAAAGTAAGAAACATATTGTTGAAGTGTCATTTAGTTTTGTAGTAAACAAGCTATACAGACAAGCTACTCATAAGTTTCTATAAGTTAATTTTTAAATCGGTATATCACACTCTCCCTTAAAACTAACTTATTTAAAAGAATCGCCTCTCCTAATTATATGTAACAGGCAATTTTGTGGGACGCCACAGGGCCCAGCAGCTAACCTACAGAGCGCCTCTTCCATGGATTTACGCGAGTTGCCTCTTTTGCTATGGCATGCTGCGTGGACTGACCCAACGCGCTCTACCTGTTGTCTTGGTGAAATACTGCTTTTGGGAAAAAAAAAAAAAAAAACGAAAAACACCACACACACAGATTCTTTATAGATATCCAGGGCAAAAATTCCTCCTTCCCCTCGCATATCCACATCAAAATCTGATAAGCAAGGTTGACATGCATCCTGTTTAGCCTAATTTTTCCTGATAAAGTGAAATTTTGTAACAGTCATGATTTGTGACGTTTCTTCTGTTACTGCCATCTCGTTAAAGAATAGACACTTATAATAGCACTCAAACTGTGTTTGAGAGACTACATTTAAAGGCTCATTTTATATCCTTGCAAGTGAAGAACATAATGTTAATTACACTTTTATTCAAGGAACTAAACTACAGAATAATTACAGGTTATGTGGCCACCTAGTGGAAATAAGCTGTCAGTCCGGATGCCGAGTACAGCGTACTCGACAAATGCACAAAGGAAAACTTTACTCGGATACAAAAACGTTCATTTCATCTATTCAATCTTTATAAAACTGAAAATAGGATTAGAAGTTGGTATTTAAAAAAATGAATTTTGTACCTTGGAACATCAGTTATGTAAGCCAGACAATCATATAACCACAGTACAAAGGGTAGAGATTATTTTAACAGAGATGCCCTTTGGTATACTCATTTTTTATAGCCTTATTTCATAATGGGTAACAATAAACATCAAAGGTGGAACTCAAAGTACTTGCTAAAAAGTTAGTCTTCCCATATCCTTTTCTTTATCTCTTTACACACCCTTTTCTGCCACAACATAACTGAAATAACTATTGATGAACAAAATTGTCCACATGCACAAAACCAGGGAAGAAGGTTACAATTCTTTTATTTTGTAGTCTACTTCCTGAGCTTTTAGTCACTCAGACTAAAGCACGATGTCTACCTTTAAATACTGTATCAACACAATCTTCAACCTGCAACAGAAAACTACTTTGTCTAATAGATAAATTAGCTTACGTTTTCTATCCAACAAGATTTGAAAACAGCAAAAAGTTACAGTTCCAGTGCGCGGACAGAACGAAGGGAATTGCTCGAGGAGCGGAAGGAGGCAGGGGTTAATCTCGTCAGGAAGGAGGTTTTCCAGACTAGAGAGAGCTGGAGTCTGAACACTGCAACTACAGCGACTCTGCTCCAAGCTGCTTGGCCTGGCTCATTCTCCTTGCCTTCAGTTTTCAGGGCGCTGAATTCACCAGCTGAGGTGCTCTCTCACTCCAGCTGTAATAAACCCGCGGCTGCCGACCCAGGCCACGCATGGCATTGCGCGCCATGCCCGTCACTGGAGGCAGGCGCAGGAAGCGAGTGGCTACGTGGACTGGAGAGGGCAAATGCAACCATGAGTTGTGAAGTTGCAAAACATCTGCTGAGTTTCAAAACCGTAGGACACCTGCTTCTTCACATCCTCCCCGTCTCAAACAGCGTGCACCAACGCAGGAGGGCGGAAATCAAGGGATCGCTCTGTCAATGGTACTGTTATCGTCAGACCTCAGCCTAGTCCTAGTTCGCCAGTCTTTCCACTTCATTCAACAGCAGCTTTTATCATCTTACACACACACACACACGTATATCCTTTCGCAGAAAAGTCTAATCAGCTGCTAAACCAAGGACAATGAAAAACATTCAGA